AAGGATTGGGGACAGAAAAGCTGATCACGGGTCTGTGCTCATGGGTTCCTTTTACCACGGTCATCTCCCTAGATAATGCTCTTGAATGCAGATCTGCTGAGGTCAGTTTTGGTGGTTTCTTCCAAATGGTTAAGGGGAGGGAAAGTTGATCCTAGATCTGTGGTTGTAAGTGACTTATAAGTGACTTATATAGAAAGTTGGTTTTTTTAGATGTTGTTTAAAGCCTATCCCAAACCTTAACCCTTACCTTAACCATTTGGAGTTAATGCCTGAACTTACCCTTAAACACTTTGAAATTTGACGTTTACACCATCTTCGAAAGTTGACGTTTGAGAAACATGGACGAACGTCTAATTCTGACCCAAGGTAGTTCAGTTCCCCCCTGGTCAGTTGATTAGCTGTTTTATTAAAGGAGTCCAGTGGTTTTTACGAAGTAGATTGACTTGAGAACCATTTGATGACACAGACACAAACACACACACTTTTGATACAATTAAGACACTGAAATTTTATGAGAACACACACACACACACTCACCCCACACACCACACACACACTCACACCACACACACACTCACCCCACACACCACACACACACTCACCCCACACACCACACACACGCTCACCCCACACACCACACACACACTCACCCCACACACCAGACACACACTCACCCCACACACCAATGTCTGACTGTGTGTGTGTGCGTGTGCGTGTGTGTGCGTGTGCATGCGTGCATGTGTGTGTGTGTGTGTGTGGGTGCGCGCATGCCTAGGTGTGTGTAAGGAGGGGAGGTGACACCCCCATCTAAATTATAATGGCAGACGACCAGAGTTGGAGCTGGGGTTGCGGTCGGCAGTAAATAAAAATGCTTATGAATATCAAACCCCTTAAACCTCAAACCACCTCTGATTTATTATATTTATGTACGTGATTTAATGGTTTGATGTTGAGCTGGAAATACAATCAGCGAGGGGGGAGTGTGTGTTTGTGGAGTGGTAGTGTGTGTGTGTGACAGTGTGTGGGTGACAGTGTGTGGGTGACAGTGTGTGGGTGACAGTGTGTGGGTGACAGTGTGTGGGTGACAGTGTGTGTGTGTGACAGTGTGTGGGTGACAGTGTGTGGGTGACAGTGTGTGGGTGACAGTGTGTGTGTGGGTGACAGTGTGTGGGTGACAGTCTGTGTGTGACAGTGTGTGGGTGACAGTGTGTGGGTGACAGTGTGTGTGGGTGACAGTGTGTGGGTGACAGTGTGTGGGTGACAGTGGGTGTGGGTGACAGTGTGTGGGAGACAGTGTGTGGGTGACAGTGTGTGGGAGACAGTGTGTGGGGTGACAGTGTGTGGGTGACAGTGTGTGGGTGACAGTGTGTGGGAGACAGTGTGTGGGAGACAGTGTGTGGGTGACAGTGTGTGGGTGACAGTGTGTGGGTGACAGTCTGTGTGTGACAGTGTGTGTGTGACAGTGTGTGGGTGATAGTGTGTGGGTGACAGTGTGTGGGTGACAGTGTGTGGGAGACAGTGTGTGGGTGACAGTGTGTGTGTGACAGTGTGTGGGTGATAGTGTGTGGGTGACAGTGTGTGGGTGACAGTGTGTGTGTGACAGTGTGTGGGTGACAGTGTGTGGGGAGACAGTGTGTGGGAGACAGTGTGTGGGTGACAGTGTGTGGGTGACAGTGTGTGGGAGACAGTGTGTGGGAGACAGTGTGTGGGTGACAGTGTGTGGGTGACAGTGTGTGGGTGACAGTGTGTGGGAGACAGTGTGTGGGTGACAGTGTGTGGGAGACAGTGTGTGGGTGACAGTCTGTGTGTGACAGTGTGTATGTGACAGTGTGTGGGTGACAGTGTGTGTGGGTGACAGTGTGTGGGTGGACAGTGTGTGGGTGACAGTGTGTGGGAGACAGTGTGTGGGAGACAGTGTGTGTGAGACAGTGTGTGGGTGACAGTGTGTGGGAGACAGTGTGTGGGTGACAGTGTGTGTGGGTGACAGTGTGTGGGTGACAGTGTGTGTGGCTGTTTCTGTTTCTTTATGATGGTGTTTGAAATACAGTTTTCTTATTTAGATCATGTTGTTTTTGGTACTTTGACTTTCAAAGGGCC